AGTAGAGATAATATGCAGTCACGGAAGTATCATTCAAAATTTTCTATTAGAATATAAACATATCCAAACATTCAAACATTATTCAAATTTTGTAAATTGATACATTTAATAATTGAACTTTATTGATCTCACATTGCAGATATGAACCTCCGCATTTAACCCATCCCCTTGGGGAGCAGTGGCCTGCCATTGTGGGGCTCCCTGTGAGAAGTGTGGGGTAAAGGTCTTTCTTCTGTCACGTTTGAGATAATCAATTTTATTTTAATATTGTTCAAGCATAATTTGAGGAAACACAAAAGCAACACAATGTTGAATTCATTTATTACAGAAAAATGTATTTATTTATTAAGTTTTTATTTTTTCAACTTTAATAGTCATTACACTGCCACAAGTACAGAGCAACAAAATTTGCTCTCTGCATTTCACCCATCCCCTTGGGGAGCAGTGGGCTGCCATTATGGGATGCCCAGCAGTGTGAGGTCAAGGGTCTTGCTCAGGGACCCAGAGTGGCATTCTGTAGGAGTGGGGCCCAAACTCAGAACCTTAGGATACCTAACTCTATGCCCTAACCACTAGGACGCCACTCCCTTTTTTATTTTATATTGTTCTTTATTGTCTTTTATTTTATACACGAACATTAATATATTAGACTTACACTCAAAAACTTAGACTTAGACTCAACTTTATTAATCTATTGGGATTACTCCTTCAGTGAAATTTTGGTTCTAGTAGCTAATATAGAGTACAAAGGACAGAGTTAGAGCAAAATGGCATTAAAGATTAAAATACATCAGACAATAATGTAAAATGTAAAAGTAATGTAAAATAATAATGTAAAAGAAAAAAGTCTATTAGAGCTGCGACATAACTAATCTTTTAAATGACAAATAGAGTAAAAAAGTAAATCAGCATAATGGAGTTCTAAAGTCTTTTGGACAGCTGACAAATAAATATGACTTGCACAACAACATTTTTTTGAAGTATCTTCAGGTCAGGAATTTTTGCTACTGATTTATTGAAGTGCAGTTATTATGTGCAGCCCCCACGGTCTACTATAGAGAATATGGCTGTTAACCATCATCAAAGTAGGGGCTTGCTTTCCAAATTTTATGATATTTTAATTGCAGCCTCAAAAGAAAGAAGCCTTTCATATTTACATGCCTGGAGATCTGATATGGAAACAGACATTTCAGTGGAATAACTCCTATTAACCTGCACAAAAAAAAAAAAAATTCAACACAAGATTTCGATTAGAACAGTAAGTGGTTTTTTTAGAAACTATATCACACAAGTGAAACTCCATCATTTGAACCCTAACATTTCTGATGATTGTATCAAATGTGGTAAAGAAAATGGGACGCTTTATCATTGCACGTGGCAGTATGTGGAACTTCAGAATATTTTGGGAATAAATTTGTATTGTAATTTCAGATTTGACTGAATGTAAAATGTCCATCGATGGTAAACTATGTGTACTGCACATTTTTCCAAATAGCTTCAAATGCAATACAAAGAACAAGAAGCATTTTTGTTTAAAACAAGTGAAATATGGATATATATATATATATATATATATATATATATATATAAAAACTTGCTACTTTACCCAGAAACCAAAGCTAAGTGATGTTTTTTATCGGTTCAATTTTTTTATTGGTAATTTTAAGCCAACACGCCACCTTACTTTGCAAAGCGGCTTTGCCTAAAAGCAATATTTAATTGGTGCATGTTTTTCTGTAAACACTTATTTATACAAGAAGGTGTTTTAAGGGCAAAATTCTGATTTCAAAGTGAAGAGAAGGAATTTATTTTTAATGAGCCTAAGAAAAATGAAATAAACCTAAGCTTTTTGGGTTATTTTGTCCATTTCTCTGCATATGTTTTACTTATACACACTTTCATAGACTGTCAGTCTTAGCTGTTTGTTCTGTGTTTCCATGTGTTTGATAAACCAAGAGCTGCGACTTGAGGAGGCAGCTACATTTGTGCATGCCCAGGGAGAAAGCCTCGGCTCCTGAAGCAGCTGGAAAGTTACACGAAGAAGGAGGTGCAGAGCTTAAGCCACACTTACAGGAACTGAAAGTGAAGGTGAGGGGTTTCTGTTCATGATAAAGATAACAGAGGAAATGTCTTACACTCTGCCTTGAACTCACATGTTATTGTGCTTTCCGCAATGGTGTGTAGTGTAGGCTTTCAGAACATACCGGCTGCTTCTTTCTGCCATCAAAATGGAATATTAGAACCCATTAGGTTGGTAATATAGTACATTTCATGTCATGATCCTATTGATTTTTGAGGAAAAATACAGGAACAAATGAGTAATTATCTGTTTGTTCATTTGTTAAGAATATATATTTTTAATCATTAAGGTAGATTGTATTTATGGGAGTGGCGGCCAAGTGGTTTGGGGCATTGAGCTTGGAATCCAGAGGTTTTGAGTTCAAGCCCCACCCCCACAGACTGCCGCTCTGGGTCCCTGAGCAAAGACCCTTAACCTCAGAATGCTCCCAGGGCGCCGCACAATGGCAGCCCACTGCTCCCCAAAAGGCATGGGTTAAATGCAAAGAAATACATTTTGTTGCTTTGTACCTGTGACAGTGTAATGACAATAAAGTTGAATTCTATTTTATTTCAATTGAATGTCTTATTACAGAGGAACTGTCAAAGCATTTTTGGCAAAGTTTGTGATTAAAAACCTTTATTCAAAGAAGAAAAAAAACATTTGAAAGTCCAAGTAAGAATAATTTTAACAAAGGACTGAAGTACGTATATCCTCTGTATATTTCCGTGTTATTTCTACAGAATGTGGGTGCTTTTCCTTTCTGCACTGTACTTTATTTTCACATTTCACATCGAATATTGAATATGTTCTTAACCACAAACATATCATAGATCTATAATAAATACCAGAAAGGACACAACTCAACTCAGAAAGGTAATTCCTACAATGAGGTAATCTAGCCAGTTGCATGGTGTTATCTATTTTGCTGAATTGTGATCTTCCAAGCATGTGGTGATAGTAGAAAGGAATAACTCACTTTTAATAAAAGAAAACCTCCAACAGAACCTGACCCAGTGTCCCGTCTGTCACTATGAAGTAGGCCATCTCGGTTTATTTGCATTACTTATCTGTTAAGCCATCCCAAGATCTGATGCCCCTATGGTTCCAGCTGTGACTGGTGGCTGAGAGAGGAACAGAATAAGGCTCAGATCTTGTGAAGGCAGAATCAGCAGCTGCTGGGGAACAGCAAACCCGTGATTGAGAGAGAGGAGGCTACATAAGTCATTGTGAATAACAAACATTAAAGTTTAGGGTGGATCAAAACTATCTTTGCTATCTGTTTCTCCTTTTTGTTTCCAGTCGGAGCTGTCCAACTTGTATCTGCAGCTCAGGAAGGAGTGTGATGCCCACAGGCTGTTGGTCTAGCAGCTCAGTGAGCTGAAAGGAGGTTCTGTTAAGATAGAGATCTCTGCAGAAAGAAACGCAGGTAGAGCTTCTGCTGTGAGACCATTATTCACCCAGAAGACTGAGAACATAATTTGAGGTGTGGATTTGATTCGACTTTCGCCATGCAAATGAAAGTGGGCATTATTTAAGGTAGAGAGAATTAAGAGTTAAGTTTTGTTCGTAATGGGTAGTTCTAACATTTTCCAGTCTGAAGGACAAAGCACTGAACATGCCGACAAAGTGGAAATAGAAAGATTTATTAGAGGTCAGCAAATTATTTCTGTATCTTTTCTAATTTTGCTTTACACATCATCCATACATTTTTTAAATCAAAGGTAATGCTTAGCTCAGCATTTACAGAATTATTTCTCAAAATTCATAAATCAGTGTATAAAATTGTACAACTTCTTTGTTTCCCATTTATTTAAACTATACTGTTATTGTAATCATTCAAAGTGATCAGGCTTTCGTTTTCAATAATTTTTTACACAGAGGGCGAGAGTGGTTATGGATTTTTTTTAAATAAAAAAAAACAATGCAATTATAGTTTAAATGGAGATGTTTTACTCCAGTTATCTTCATCTGATATCATAAATTATATGATGTGAAACATCAAACTGCAAAAAAACAAAAATAAATGCATATGGTAAAGCAGGTTAAGGCAATGCAAGACAAGTGTATTTTTATATCACAATTCACATGGACAATTCAAAGTGCTTTATGTGAATTAGATGATAAAATAGAAGAAAAATAAAATCAGAATAAAGAAAAATATTTTTTAAAAATGTGTAAAACAAATAAAATTATTGGACAACACTTAAACTAATAATACCCAGGCTTTCAGCACCTTTAGAGTCTTCTGGGAGTTTGTTCCAGATGAGTGGAATCATGGGAACTAAATGTTTGGTTCTAGATCTGGGTGTATAGAATAGACCTAAACTAGAACACCTGAGAGGTCTGGGAGGTTTATACACTGAAAACAAATCAGTTATGGATCAGCTGCAGCTGTCTGATGGATTTTTTTGGGCAAACTTATGAAAAATGGTAAATGGTAAATTCTAGTTTAGAGCTGTATTGTCCCTACAATCACATTCTTGTTTTTAGTTTTATTTTCCCAGCTGAAGACACTTTAAATTGACTTCCATCAGTTGAATATTGTGTTTGGCACATTTCTTGAGCCTCACAATAAAAGCTGTCTGCATCCTGAGGCAAACATCTAATTCACTATTCAGGTATATTACAACCAAAAGCCCTTGTTTTAATCAATTTTCATATTGACTGACTTTTCGTGCTTTTAACCATCCTGTAAATCATTAGCTAATGTGGTAATAATAAAAATGATAGTTTAAAACATCATTTTCTTTACGTATGTAGCCCCAGCCTGCTGAATTATTTGTTTATAATGAGTTTTCTGTTTTACAGATGAAGACCAGTGTGCTTTGAGGGCAAAGCCAGATCCGGTTAGACCAGCAGCAGGGTATCTGCCCTGGGGTTCAAATGTGTTTATACACACATTAGTATTTCATTACTTAATTTAAACTATACTGAAGATTCAAGCAGATATTAAATCCTGGTTTGAACATAAAGGATTCTAAGAAGCAGTTTTATGTTTAATTCTATGACTAGTTATTATTGATTTGTTTGTTTTAGCGTTTGTGATCATGTTTTTGAAACCTTGTGGGGACAATTTCCTGGGTGGGGGGGGATCAAAACTGATTGGCTGTAGCAATGACCTCCTCTCTGCAACTCTAACATGAAGCAGAACATTCTGAATCTTACATTTTGTTCCTCCCAAAATTGCATTTTTGTTTTAACTGTCCAGCATAACACAAACCCTGGAAAATAAATTCACAAAATCCCCAAATAATAACCATCAAACAGCCTTGGGCTATCCTTACTCTTTAACTGCAATGTAAATTAAAAGAACATAAACTGATTGCATTATTCATTTCATGGAAAACTTAAATATTTATATAATTGAGTTCTGTCTTGGTGAAGCATCTTCCTTCATCCTGACTGGCTGACAGCCCTGACTGAGCTTTCTGTCACAGATTAGTTTAAGAAAATGCTTCTGCTGCTACAAGCTCTTTAAAGAAATAAAAAATTAAATCTGCAGATGGTTTTTGTTTTGTTAAAAGGACTGTAAACTGAATTTTAAACTGGTCCATTATTTATGATTAATGCACAAGAAAGAATTAGATTAAAGTAATCCTTTGTTTGCCGGCTGGAACATTCCCAGAGTAACAGCAATAAGGTGATAACTAAATGAAAGTATAGACACAATAAGGAAACAATAGACTGTACAGCAGACAGGAGTAAATGTAAAGCAACTGAGTCTGTTAAAATTTTATTAGTTAAAGCAAATGTCAGAGTTTAAAGGTATAATGGAGGATTTTCATAAATATTTGCAAAAACCTGCCCTCTACTTAAAAAAAAAAAAAATGCACATGCACAACCCTGTACCTGCTCCCGAGAAGGAACATCTATTAAATACCTGTGAGAGCGTGCATGAGCCCATTTCCTAAAGGAGCACTTATTTTGATGATCCACCCAGAAAAATAACATCCTCCACTATACCTTTAATAATTTGTTATTGTGGATGTTTCTTTAAATAAATATAAATAATTTATTCAAAGAAAGCTGCAACAAACTGTCAATGGTCCTCTCTCATGGTTAATTTTGATTTTGATTTTAAGACTTTATTTGAAATATTACCCACTCAAATCCGTTCTCTAAACTGGCTCAAGAATACAGAGGGCAAATTAAGAATTTTAAGAAAATCTTTCCGTTTTGAGCCAATTTGTTTTTAGAAAAACACTGAGTGCAACATGGATGAAAACAGGGGGGTGGAAAATGTTGCAAACATTACTTTTCAGTCAAATGATGCAGACAAAACGGTTGATGTCAGTTATGCTTCAAGCTTTATTTCAGTTCTCATGTTATTTGCAAAACGAATGCTGTGAATTCCAGAGCTCTAAAAGTATATAATTGCTTATGCAGGACTCCTACTTAGTTCTATCTATATTGTTTTGTCTGAAATTTTATTTCAGGATAACCTGAGCTATCTGTACGCTTTATCCAAAAGTGTTAAGCCTACAATTTTAGAAGTAGTCTGCATCCCTGACTAAAACTGGTAGTTGGTTCCACAGGAGAGGATTCTGTTAACTAAAATATCTGCCTCCTATTCTACTTTTAAAAATTCTAGTAATGTCTTATAAACGTTTAACTGTTTCCAGACTAATAGGTGTGAATCAAGTTGATTATTTTAATGTTTTTCAGATTTTTCAATAATGTTTGAGAGTAGATTACATTTAGGAGACATCTTGATTGTACAGGTAGGCTACAGCAGTGATGAGGGCTGGATCTGTCTGGTGAATCTGAACCCACAAATATGTGTAATCAAAATTGACTACTAACTCAACTGCAGCCTTTTTTTTTTCTTTTTTACAGATTAGTAAAAAAAAAACACAAAACAGTTTATAATCTGTTTCTTCTGCTGTTAAAAAAAACCCAATTATCATAGGATGAAGGGAACCTGAAAATTTACAGAGTACGTTAGAATTAGCTTAAAGCTGTGTTACTACAATTAAAATATTTAAATTGTTTGAAAATATGTAAGACAATAAGAAATGTCACAGATCTGTAATGCGTGTTTGATCCAGCAGATGGCGGTAATAAAACACATTGGATATCAGCTGCCGAAAAAACCCAAAGGGTGCGATGAAGAAACACTACAATGACCATAATCCACCGCGGCGACAGCTGCGTCCTCGGTTGCGTGCCTTCGCTGTGCAGGAGACATTGCACTGTGCCATCGTGCAGCCGGCCTCGGCGTAAGTGAGAGGTAAGTTTGTATGATTTTTTTTTTAATCAAACGAGCCCTCATTTGAAGCACTGTAGAAAGACCTTTGTGAAAATAAAGAAAAATTACCTTATTTGGGTTTTTGAACTCATTAAGCGCAACTTAGCGGGCTGCTAACCTCTGGTGTAGCTAACGTCGGGCACGCCTATGTCTGGTAGCTGGTCTGTGAGCGCGGGCCCATAGGAGGTATCCGCACATAGAAGGGTCTGGGTATTTATAGAATCCAACCCTACTTAGTCTGTAAGCCAACGCCTTGAAAAAAACGTTTCCCGGGCAGCTAACGTTAGCAGGTGGGTGGGAAAGTCTGGACCAACTGACAAGTTTCCTCACAAGCTAGCAGCGGCTAGTTGGCTAACCTGAAGTGCCTAAATAAGAGGAGCTTTTACCATTCATTAGCACTGCTCCCTCATTTCACCCTTTGCTCTCCAGGAACTCAGGCTCTGCTGGTCCAATGCGTTTCTGTCCCACAGTGTGCTGCCTCGGCGGGTCATCTGCTCATGTTTAGCGCGCTCAGATTGTTCCAGCAACAACACGTGACCTGTCAGTTTGGTGCTCAGTTTTAAAATAAGTGGTTATATTTTAAACTCAATAAGAGATTGGTTTGATAATGAAGTACTCACTCCAAGTTTTGAGTACTACATTACAGTATTTATTTTTGCTCTTAATGAAAAGAAAAGAAGCATTTTTGATTTGTCACTCAGTGGATGAAGTCAGCTGTCCCAGAAATGACACACTTTACAAATTAAAATGTAGCTCGAGAACTAACACAAAATATAAAGGCAAGAAATAGATACAGAGTATGGATGTTAACATTTCTTTAATATCAGTTTTTCTTTTCAAAACATTACAAATCAATCATAGTATTGGCTTATTTGGTCCCTTTTCAAGGAGATAAAGGGGCAAATCTAGATGATGAATAAATGGATGACTATCAATAACATTTTGTTTTCTTTGAAATAAATTAATGAAATAATCAACTAATTTAGTAATCGATTATTCATTAACTGGAGTATTAAACATGCCTTAAGCTGACAGAGCAACCAACTTGGAGCAGGAAATATACCAAAATTGTAAAAAAAAAAGAAAGAAAGAAATATATATAAAATTTTTCATTTAAAATAAAAAAAATTGTTCTTGTCTGTTAATATGCTCTATCCAGAACTCCTCAAATGGAAAAGTTTTAGTTTTACTTGATTTAATTTCGTAAAAAGTCTTCTTTAAGGAACCTTTAGCTATTCGATTATTAATCGATTAAT